GACGCACGGACACACGGACGGTCGGGCGGACAGACTCAGGAACTCACGGACGGTCGGGGACATGTATCCTAACATGTATGATCTATGTACTAAATTTGAATGAAAACTGACAAAGCATGTCCAAAATACAACATTTTCAAAAAACAAGATGGCTGCCAGTCGGCCATCTTTGATCCAATTGTGAAATAAATCATCATGGACATGTATCCTAACATGTATAATCTATGTACCAAGTTTGAATGAAAACTGACAAAGCATGACCAAAATACAACATTTTCAAAAAACAAGATGGCTGCCAGTCGGCCATTTTGAATCGAATCGCTAAACCACTGCATGTGCATATGTCCCACATAAAGTACTAGGCACATGCAAAGAATGAACGGAATCGGTCCAAGGGACTCTGAGATATGACTCCGGACGGACGCACGGACACACGGAGACCGAATTATAAGTCCCCGTTTTCGGACTTCGTCCGAACGGGGACTAACAAGCAGCCTCTCGGCTGAGATAGCTCCGCTGTTAGAAATGCACATTTCAATTTACGAACTGAAGATATCATTAGAAAATGAACAATATGTATTGTATTCAAAGCAATCAGACTTGTTGTTTTCAGCAAGAAGTCAAAAATACAACTTTATATAAAAAATAACAAAATATTCATCAAAATTACATAATTGAAGATATCACGAAATGAAGAAATCTCAGAGAGGTCTAGCTGTAGTACCTATATGTATAGTATCAAAGCAATCAAACTTGCGATTTTCAAGAAGAAGTTGAAAATATCACTTTTGATCAAAAATTACAAAAATATTCACCAAAATTAGAGAATTGAAGATATCATCATGAAATGAACAAACCTAAGAGAGGTCCACCCAAGGTACATATATACCAAGTATCAAAGCAATAGGGATTATAGTTTTCAAGAAGAAGTAAAATCAAAGAAAGCTTAGAAAGAACTCCCATGTGCTGAGAGTATTGGAGACACATTAAATATAATTCGAAATTACTTAGCTGAAAACTAATTATGCAAATCAGAAAATTAATATGACCAGATTTGAGTGTAAAACTAATGAGGTCTGCGCAATGTAACAGAAAATCTATGTCTCCAAGTTTAATTGAAATGTGATTAGAACCAAAAAATTATGAATTATTATGCTTATTAGGGAATTAATATGAACAGATTTTTACCCCAAACTAATTAGGTTTGTACATTGTCCTAGAGCATCTTTGTACTAAGTTTCATTGAAATGGAATAATTAGCACCGTGAAAACTCCAAAATTTCGACCCCTCTAAAAATTTGACCGCCTATTTATTTGCCGGGTTTCGGTGTTTTATTCACCTCCAAATTTTCGACTCCACTAAAAATTGCCGACTCATTCTTATTCGAAAATTGCGACCAGTTTTAGTTTTCCCCCAAACGAAAAAAAAACGATGTGAGCGTTCAAACGGGACCTTCCTCAAAGGCATGAATCCGGGTTTCTGATTGACTGAGAGATTTTTATTTTATTGGTAACGAAAATATATTCTAAATAAACGAAGTTTCAAATAAAAACGAACACAAAAATCTCGGCATGCTGCGTTTCTGAATTGTTGATTATTACTGTACTCAGTAGTGATTATAATAATGTACACAAAATAAATTTGTTGAATGGTTATGAAATACAAATAAAAGTCAACTTAGTTTCATCGAAAGCGAATGATTCCGATCTCGTATAAACGTTTGATGCTGTAGGATATCCGCCATGTTCTCTTAGGTCAAATAGGTCAAATCGCTAATTAACCAATCAAAAAGCTGGATGATGCGAAAACGGCATGATTTTTTTTAAATAAAAAAATTAGTTGTTTTTAAAAAATAAACTGGTCATCTGAAGAATAATTTAACATTGTTCACAGTGATAACAGCTC